TCAATTGATTATATAGTGAAAATGCATTGAATCTCTGAAAATCTTCTTCTCTGCTCTGGGGTATTAAATAAACTAACTAAGTACATAGTTATGATGAACAAGAGTGCCTCTTTCAAATTTGTGAATTTCATGGCCCCAGGGTCAGGGGATCTGGTGTTAGGGCGAGGCTCTATTGATTATATAGTGAAAATGCATTGAATCTCTGAAAATCTTCTTCTCTGCTCTGGAGTATTATATAAACTAACTAAGTACATAGTTATGATGAACAAGAGTGCCTCTTTCAGATTTGTGAATTTCATGGCCCCAGGGTCAGGGGTTCTGGTGTTAGGGCGGGGCTCTATTGATTATATAGTGAAAATGCATTAAATCTCTGAAAATCTTCTTCTCTGCTCCTGGATATTAAATAAACTAACTAAGTACATAGTTATGATGAGCAAGAGTGTCTCTTCCAAATTTGTGAATTTCTTGGCCCCAGGGTCAGGGGTTCTAGTGCTAGGGTGGGGCTATATAGATTATTCAGTGAAAATGCATTATTTTTAAAAAAAAAATTCTCCTCTGACCCTGAGTATTAAATAAACTAACTAAGTACATAGTTATAATGAGCAAGAGTGCCTCTTCCAAATATGTTAATTTCATGGCCCCTATGTCAGGGTTTTAGCTATTTGGTGTAAGGAGAGGGGGGCTCTACATTACATTAATTCTTAGAAAATCTTTCCTTTTGCTCCTGGGTATTATGCCAATGATCTAAGTATATATATTTATGATGAGGAAAGGTGCATCTAGCAAAATGGTTATTTTTTGCCCATTGCCCCCCTGGGTCAGGGGTATGGGGGGGGGGGGGGGGTACATAGTCTGAAAATAAATGAATGCTTTGAAATCTACTCATTAGTATTAATCAACCATATTTGATGAAATAACATTTATGATGATAAAATTTTGAAATATGTGGCCCCAGTGTCTGTGGTTCCTGTGGGGTGGGGTGCACAATTGCATGGTTTAGAATGGAAGTGCATTTTTCTCTTAGTTACTCTGATCTACTTATGGGTGTTAAGTGACTATCTAGTAAGCATTGCTAAGTGTATAATTATGATAAGCAATAGTGCCTCTTTCAAAATCGTGATTTTCATGGCCTCTGGTTTAAAACACAAACTAAATTCAATTGTTGGAAAGTTGTTACATGATACTCAGGTAACCTATATGGCCCGTGAGCCTTTTGTTTTCTGATGCAATTGCAAAAACAATGTAGATCATAGTATATAAAAAAAACAAACAAATGTCTTAATTTTTTAGGAAAACGAAAAAAAATGTCGTTCCGATGCCGGGAATCGAACCCGGGCCGTCTGGGTGAAAACCAGAAATCCTAACCACTAGACCACATCGGATCACTTACTTTATCCGCGGTTTTAAAAATACAAATCAATAATAAAAAACATTTAAGTTATCTATTACCTTTATTTCATCTTTTTACTGTAGTTTTCAGTGGCCAAGCTTAATTCAAAAGCAAACAACTATTTTATATTCAGTTGATCTGCTTGTGGGTCTGGTACAACGAAGTGAAATTTTCGGAATATCTCTAATTTCTGACTCGTTGTCACCACGAAAACTCAAGAGAGTTCCGATACACTACCAAAACAAGTTTTCCATTTTTGGCAAGGATTGTATTGGAACAGGTTAGTGTTGGTGTTTTATTTACTATTGTTAGATAAATTAAATATAAGGATAAACCATTTAAAACAAAAAAAACGTAACCTTAGAATGAATATACAAAAGAACCATAGACTGAGTGTAGCAATGCCCAAGCAAGGGGGAGATAACTTTCTAAAATTCCACAGCCTCGTTTTCATTCCGTCTCAGAAAAGGCCTTGTAAAGTACGGGCTTTTACGGTATTTTCCGACGTGTATTCAAACGTTTTGGTGATGCTGTCATGTAGTTTGAGATGCCCCCCAAATTTACTGACCTTCGATGGATGAAGTATGGCGGGAAGGTATGTTTTACAACAATGTTGAAATATGGTTTTACTGTTCAATTTCTTACACGGACGAGTACAGCCTTGAAACTGATATATTTAGCAACCTTGGTTGTCATACTACACAGATGGATTGGTTTTAGACACGTAATCGACCGTTCTTAGGTAGAAAAGCTCGAATTTCCAAAGCCTACGTCCACTTCATGCACATGTAAATATTCAAAATGGCTGCCGTCACGTGGGTAAAAATAATGTCAACAAAAACGTTTTCAGCCCAATTTCTTATGTTTTGAACACGATGAGAGTAGTTCAGCGTAATTAAAACATATTGTTTTGAAATATCTACATGTTTTATTAGAGGGTATTTGTACAGAAGCATAAAACCGAATGGAAATGCGGTAAGGGGTGATGTCAAAATGAAATGCAAACACTGGCAACAGCCAACACTCAAAATCGGTATCACTATCAGTCAGTTTCCATTAATACTAGAATAAAAGAACTGATCAGTGGTCTGCTGTGTTTTTAAGCAAAGAATTACTTGATTGTATATGTAAAACATATGTGCCTACATTTTTGGGTCAAGTGTTTGTTATCTTTATTAATTCATGCTACTGAGTGGTAAGGATTAGCCTTCGGCTGCAGGTTCGCTACAGTCTGAGTATACACATTTTCTGATTCATTTTCATGAATTGGATATGGTTTCAGGGTTTGTACACTATTGTGTATTTAATTTATTACCTGTGGAAAACATTGAGATAACTGAAATTTAATCGCAGCTTTGATATACTGTTCACTTTACACTTAGTGTTTCAGGCACGTAGCATCGATTTTGAAAGTGGGGGGGAGGGGCAGCCACAGAAATTTTTTTTTTTACTTACCTGAAAAAGTTGACAAGCAAAAAAAAGGTGGTTGGTACCTGTTTAAATTTTTTAAAAAATAAATATGCAGTAAATCATGAGATGCAACCTGATTATTGGTATGGTGCATAACTAAGGGTAGCTGCAGATCTGTAGCGTTATATGGTTTTATATATTTGTCTTTGACCATAACGCTACAGATCCCGTAATGCAGAAAAGGTGCAATTTACGGCACAATATTTTTTGCACACTTTTGGGGAGAATTTCTCCACTTTCTAGCATTGGTCAGTCAACTACCTTTCACTCCCTAATTCTAGACACATTCTGTAGCCAACATGTATATTTTATCCACCTCCCAACCATTTATAGTGTCTCTACAGGCAATAAACTCGCTTGAAGTGAATTTTCAGCAATCTAACAAATAATTTTAATAAAGCGAATTTATCTCTTGTAAAGACAACTATTAAGGGTTGGAAGGTGGATAAAATATACAGATTAGTTAAATAATTGCCTAGAATTAAGGAGTGAAAGGTTACTGTAATAGTTAATTGACCGTACTGAAAAGTGGAGAAATTCTCCTCAAAGGTGCGCAAAAAATCTTGCACCGTAAATTGCACCTTTTTTGCATTGTGGGATCTGTAGCGTTATGGTCAAAGACAAATATATAAAACCATAATGCTACAGATCTGCAGTGAAACTAAGGGAAGTGATTCTTTTGAAATAATAGTAATAAACATCTTACTGTATTTACTTTGACATTTCCCATTTTCCATGTTAAATTTACTGAGGCATCATTGGCATTGAAAGTTACTTAAAATATTGAGTATATATAATTATGCATTAAATAAGGATAAGCACATACTCAATATACACTTTAACTTTTAATGCCTGTGCATCTAGTATTAGACTAAGTTCTTTACTTACGCTTTCACAAATATACAAAATGTTACTTAGGCATATCATATAATTATATATAAAAATAGTTTACTTAGAAGATGTCAAGCAAGGCAAAATGTCTTCATGCATTAACCTACTTGTTTAAAACATCACAATGACTTTTTTTTATTTCATGGTTGAGATAAAGAAACAAGGGTGTGTGTGTATGTGTAGTGTTGGCCTTGAGGGTAAGGTGTTCACTGAATTATTTGTCAGAGTTAACTCCCTTCTGACAGACTAACTCATCTGTTATCCACTGTACATATAACAACACTGAAAGTTCTAACAGTGTGGAGGATTTATTATAAGATAATTACTCTAAGATTACTTTATTATTCAAGTGTAGCCTACTTATTAGTAGGGACAGTTGTATACAGTGCCCAGAATATTTCAGAAATCTGTCATGGAACAAGCTATGTATGCTTAAATTTTTAAGATACGCATGACTGCATGCATGTATACGCTTTCACATAACTAAGGTACACACTGTTTTTTTGCAAAGCAAATTGGATATAGTGGTGAATATGACATAAAAGCAATTGTGTAATAAACATAATTTAAATATCTGCCAACAGAAACATAAGAAAACTTTGCCAAACATTATTCAATTATAGCCGTGCAAAAACATACTAGGTACTCCCCGTCTAATTTAATTCGTATATAACTTAGTAAATAAGAAATGTACATATGCATAGATTTTACAATAAAGACAGGATACACCATTTCATTAACTGCCATTTACTAAATGAAATGAATTAAATGGTGATCAAGTGCCAATACTGCACAAGAGCAGTGCAGGAGTTATTGTGAAAGGTAGAATTTATGGGAATGAATATACATGTAGAATCATCATTCATCAGGATCATATCTAAAATATTTGTAAAAAGAAAAGAAGATTCTTTTTGTGTATACTGTATAGGTAAAAAAAATATAGTCTTCATTTGGCAGAAGTAAATTTATTCTGACATATTTTGTACAAAGAACACAAGTAGCTGCCAGGAATATTGAAATGATGATCATACGAGATAAAGTTATGTGATCATCTGATTATATGCTCTTTGTCAAATCCACCAAAGTAAAAATTAACCACAAGCGGCACTGGGGTTTTTGAAATATTTCTGTCTGAGCACAGGAAGCAGTGATATAAGCAGTGATGTCTAATGATAAAAATATTACAGAGATTGTTAAAATTGTGTGAGTCACTAGTAGAGAAGAATGAACAAGCCTCCGTGTACTTCACAAGTGAGTGCATTCTCTCCCACTCAGGCACCTGTATGTAAACCTGCCATTGTTTATTAGTAGGAGCACAAAGCAGGAGTAGTTTGTCAGCTGTTTTATATTGGATTTATGAATGGAATTTGTTTATGTACATGTATCTATCTCATATGTGGTAAGATTTTTCTATTTAATTTCTACAATCATAAATGCATGATTTAATCAGAAAATTGACAAGTGAACATGAGAGATGTACTCAATGTATATATATACATAAAAAAAAAACGTTCCAAAATTCATGCTTTACACTGTGATCATGATTTTAGATGTTATGATTATGTCTATAAATCTGTGAAAATTCAATCCCTCTTAAACATAAAAGGGGGGGGGGGGAGGCGGAGGGAGGGAAGAGCATGGATCAAGTGTATATGCCCATCTTCAAAAATACCCTGTACACAGGAGGTTAAAGCAAGCATTTTATGAGTAATATAGTGTCTATAGGGAAGGCCGCCCTGGTCAGGGGAGGAAACCTGGTCAGCATTATTTTAGCCCCACCATGTATGGAACCTTGTTATTGGATGAGGCATCTCTCTGAAGCTCATTCCATAGTAACCCATCCATCATCATCATCATCATTCTTTTCATGGTACCCATGTCTTGTCTGGTCTCTTAAGCAGGTGTTCATTTTAGATCTTTTCTTACCATAATATTTAGAGGATTTTACAAAGACATTTGCATGTACTATCCCATTGCTGCATACTTCACATGCAGTACCAGGTATATGGCGACTATATTTGAGTCAGTAGCTTTGAAGAAGGAAAGTGTTCAGTTACTTTCCAAGCAAGTGGTAGATTGTAGATGTTTTTAATTATGTAAACATATATTTCAAACATTGGGTTTCATGTGTGTGTGTGGGGGGGGGGGTGTGTGTGACTTAGAGAGGTTTTTCTTTATACACTACCTTTATATTTTTCTGGTATTGACGATAAATAGAGCCTCTAGAAGCAAATTTGTTTAAACATGATTGACAGTTGTTGAACCTATTAATTAAGCTACAAGTGTATGCTAATTAAAGCTTTTGCAAAGATGGAGTCTAAGTAAAAAAAAATCCTGGCACTTAAAACTAGTTAATCATGTAAAGTGAAATCTCCCATAGCATGCATTTGGCTGGAAGTCCATGAGTAATTGAACAAAATTAAAAAGTTGTTCCACTAAAATAGATTTAAAGATGTGTAAGTCACAATAATGGAATTCAGATATGTACCTGCTATGTGATAAAATGTACCTGCAGCTATATGATGAAAAGAACTTTACTGGTATAATTAGTGCACAATACATAGCATGCACAAGATGTGAAGAAGTATGAATTCTAACAGTAGTTTACTTTGATCTTACAGAAGATGCTTGCCTATTGCGTCCTTTTCTTTGCATTAGTGACCATCACCTGGGGTCAGAACGAGATCATCACGGAATGGACCGTAGAACAGTTCCCTAATCCCATGACACAGCCAGAAAAGTGTGGAGGAATAAGGGGGCGGCCATCTTATATTTGTGACCCAAATAGTATACTGACCTCTTCTTGTAAGTAATCAGTGTCATTTCATGACCTCAAAAACTGCCATTTCAACTTTGTATGCAGTCTATATGATACCAAAATAATGAACTTCAAATGCTCCATTTTGATATTTCATTTCAAAGAGTTACTTCCCTGAACAAATTTACATGTATAGACCGGCAGAATAATCTATATTTCTCTTGATTAATCATTATTTAAGATTTTATGTACATAACGTATAAAACAATAATGGTTATACTGCAATTCTGAGTGTTCCATTTTTTTTGTGAATAGTGTGTTAATTTGCATGATAAATAAAAAAAAATCCATAACTACAAAATCTTATGTACTAGTTCTTTCTTATAAAAGAATTCCTTCTTATTCCATCAGTGTCCCTCTTGGAAATTATTATGCCCCCCTTCAAAGGGCATATTGCTTTGCTGCTCTCTATCGGTCGGTCAGTCTGTCTGTCGGTCCACTTAATTTCCATTCATTTTCTTCACAACTGTTGCACAGACTGAAATAAAATTTGATATACAGATATATCAGATGAATATCTAGGTCAAGTTCTGTTTTGGGTACGGTTGCGCCATTTTTGACAGAGTTATGCCCCTTGGACTTAGAAAAATTCCAATTATTTGCAGTTAATTCTGTTCAATTTCTTCACAACAGTTGCACATACTGAAATGAAATTTAGTATACAGATTTATCAGATGAATATCTAGGTCAAGTTCTGTTTTGGGTACAATCACGCAATTTTTGACAGAGTTATGCCCTTTTGGACTTTGAAAAATTCCAATTTGGGGGGAGGGGGGCACAAGTGTTTTACAAACATCTCTTGTTTAGAATATTGTATTTTGTTTTTAGTTGCTGAACTTGATCATGCTTTGAACCAGACCTTCATGGACACACAATGTATATGCAGCGCCTATAAATGTCGTGATCTGAATTATCGCCATGGAGTTCACATTTCTGTTGCCGTTCTGGCTAACCTCAAGTTAACCCAAGGGTGAGATTACAAACCTTTTATTACAGGAATAAGTTATAATATGGAAGCCAGTTTTTTTCATATCATCAGTTCTCTCATAGACATTAAGGGGAAGAAATAAGGGTAATACAGACATAACATTAGGCCTAGAAAAAAAATATGTTTGTTTCCGCTTTCAGGCTGAAAAAAAAATAGGGTAGGTAGGTAGGTAATTATTTTTTTTTTGAAAATTTTTTTTGCTTGTTTAATCAAAACGTGTATAGAAGTAACATTAATGACAAAAGAAATGGTGGTTTCAAGCATTTCTGTGACTTAAACTTATAAAAGAAAGGTGACCCAAACTTCTTTCTGTCATGAAAAGCTTGCAAAGCTGGAGACTAATTCCCTGGGTGAAATCTTGCACTTCATTGGACAAAAGCATTAAAAAATGTTTAGGGTCGGCACTATAAATTAGGGTCGGTCGGGAAAGCGGAAACACACATATTTTTTTTCTAGGCCTTATAGAAAATCCATATGTGAACACTGTGTTGATTTAGAGACATTTTGACAAAGTTGGGTTTGCTTTGTTGTGTGAGGATCAGAGAAGATAAAGTCCGGTATGTTATTATTTACAGGAGGACATCAGCTTTACCGGAGGTGGAACATTTTGCCCTGAATTTGGAGAGCAAGCATTGGAACTTTGGAGCTTGTGATAATGACATTGTCATTGTGTACTCCGCGGGAGATAATGTGGTAAGCTTGTGATAATGACATTGTCATTGTATACTCCGCAGGAGATAATGTGGTAAGAGTTATCCAGACAAACAAACAGACTGGTTATATAAGATCGGAACATATGGGAAACTACTGTATACAGGGTTATTTTCACCCTTTCACACTTGGAAAACAATTTTGTATCATTTTAAATTCGCCCAGTCCTAGTTTTGTTTAAGAAATTATATTGTATTCTTTGAATTCGCCCCAATTTAAATTCGCCCAAATGAGGATAGGGCGAAAGGGATGAAAATAAAACAAGGGCGAAAATTTCCCTGTATACAGTATTTATTAAAACTAAATATGTAAAATGACAAATGTACACTGTAACCAGTGACCTTCAAAATGGCTGTCAAGGGGAATAACTCAAAGGAAATATGCATAATTCAAATCATTAAAAATGCATACATGACTGATTAAATTGATTAAGTGTAATAGATTTATATATGTACTTTATTATAAAATTATTTTTGTAGATATACACCGCCACAGGAAGTGCTGCAAATTACATTTTAGATACACAGAAAATCAAGGACATTACTAGTGCAAATGGAATTTACTTCAGGAACAAGAATCCGATGGCTGGTCTTTATGCCATGATCATGGATTATAGGTTTGTAGTAAAGTTAACAGAAAAAGAGCGTAAACACACCATAAAGTTTTCTGCAAATTATACATTTTTCAGTTCATATTCAAAGATTTAAAGACCTTTGTCAACAAATGTAGTTTTCTTTACCAAATGTTTAAAACCAAAGACTAGTATTAATGTAGTCTTCAAAATAATATACATTAGAGTTATCAGTTTATAACCGGTTCCGTTAGATCAGGTACTCCACAGCAGCAATGGTAATTTGACACGCTTTCTTTTTTCAGGAGTGTGTTTCAGGGAGGATACCAATCATATGCATTGTACCAAGAAAGTCAAAATGTCAGAGGATTAGCTCACATGGTTACAGCATCAACTTCCTGTTTGCTGGTTGCCATAGTTACATATTTATACAACAAACTCTGATTTTCACAGTCAGTAGAAGAAAAAATATCAGTTCCATTTTGTGTCTTGACTGCAAAAGAACTAAATTATTGATTTCATTTTGATGAATTAGTCTTAAATTAATAACATTTAAAATAGAAACTTGAAAGTATGAATTTGAATTATTTCAGATCTGATTTACTAAAATATTGCATATACAATATATATTTCATGAATCCAGAGCTACAGTTTCCTTCAGAAAAACACAAGACAGTACAACTTCAGTGTTTTGTTTATTTCTTTTTGACATGTACATCTTGTATATCATTATCAAAGAAAGACCTCTGTGACAATGTTTTTGGAAAATGAAAATTCTGAACAGAAAAAAATTAGGAATTTATAGGGAAAAGCTTTACCCCGTTACAATTTTTTTTAAACTTTCTTAGCTGTAAATGTTGATGCAGATGTAATTTTAGGTTTTCAATTTCAAATTGTGCTTTTGTCACATCTGAGGAGGTCAATTTTGGCCGTCTTCTTAACAATCTTTCTAGTGCATCAGTGTGTCCTGAATTTAACTCGTGAACATAATTTTTTTCTGATTTTACAGATTTATAATGCCATTGAAAATGATAGCATTTGTTAATCTTTAAAAGGTAACAAAAAGTTTCTTTTCTTATTTAAGCATTGAGATATGTGTGTTGTGAATATACATCATGTATTATCAAGTATTACCTCTTTTCAAAAAAAAAATGTTTTGTTTTGATCAAAGAGTTTATGTCAAAAGATCTGATTTTTTGATGCTAAAAATGTTCTTTTTATATTTTTTTTGTCATCTGTACAAACCAATTTAATAAATATATATTGTCTGTTTACTGTGCTTCAACATTTTTATCTGCTTTTTTATACACTCCAAATTTGTAAAGGTTATGTTTTAGATCAGTAATATATTTTTTTTTTTCATGTTAAACCCATAGGAGCATTCTTATTGGTTAATCTAGCATGTTTTGGTATACATGTACATTCGGTCTTGTTATGTGTCAGAGTGAATGCTTTACTGTTAATCAATTTTCCACTATAATTTCACTCTTTGACAATTTGTTATTTGTGACACTATTCCTCTGAGGTTTAAATATGAATCATTTGTTACTTTCAATAAATCTTTGCAAATTTACTGTCCACAAAATTGATGCAGGTTAATGACAGCTATAGGAAGGTGGTTTTCAGTAAGAGTGTGGGTCTGTGAGAATGTGGATTTATTTGTGATGTATTTAAATGTTTATTTATGATGATCAAATGGTGCTTTCTAATATAATGAATTGTGTGTTTTTATAACTTTATACAGGGTTAATGTGTAAGAATATATATTGTGATTGTTTGTTATGGAATATTATTGTTTTTAATTAAAATGTTTCTGTTAATGAAAAGTAGTGTTTTACATTGTTTTGAATGCCAAAAAAAATTATAGAAATGCTAGGAAAATGTTGTTCACATAAAGTCACAACGGTTTTCTTTTTTTTTTTTATCTACAGTGAAACCTGTGTAGTTCATATACTGTCTGTTCTAAAATCTTGTATAATATGACTTCCAGACCCATTAAATTCAGTTAGTATAATTTAGAATTTAGTCTTACCTGGCCAATTTCTTTGGAACCAGTGAAGTCAAGTTTCATTGTATTTCTTATGTTACCAGAATGTTGTTAAAATAAGTTTAGATTTTCATTGTTATTAATGAACATCAATATAACTTTGTTTTGTATTGTTTTTATCACTAATTGAAATAAATCGACCTCTGTATACACTTTTTGTTTGCTATATTTTGAGCTTATTACAGTGTAGAGATTGTCATTTGAGATGTCTTTTAAGGTTGTAAAATAGCTAAATACTTGTGTTCTTGTAGCTTTATTAAGAGAAACCTTCTGGTAGCTAACAACGAATAAATGTGTGCTTGTGTTGGTGTTTTTACATAGATATTTTGATCAGTTAAAGTGAATTGTCTTAGAATATTTTTCGCAGTTACTGAGGTTTTTGATTAATATTTTAGACGAAGGTGTAAATGAAAGCTGTTTGAAAATCAGTCCACACCTTTTATCATAAATGTATATTAATGCTTCCATGTAAATATTTATATTTTATCAAACATGATTAACCTGTCCAGAAATACTCAGTATAGGGGTATGTCTATTCCCTTAATATATCATTTTTTATGGATTTTAAATTTAGAAGGTTAGTTTATATTTGTAGAAAAGTAATATTTTTCTTTATTTTACTTGTTTTTAATTTTTATTCAAAACTGTATTTTCTGAAAGCTGATTTTTAGTTTAAAGAAATGTTATAAAAGATAGAATTTAATAATGATAATAATTAAATAAAATCTGATTTAATTAAACCATATAAAAGATTCCACCTATTTCTTGTTTCCTGCTATCCCAGTGAAATTTTGAGGCATTAATTTTTGTTGTTGATTCGTCAGCTTCCTTCATGCAAGGTATTTAAATCAGTATCCACAGCAAGTATGTACATAATTGTAGAAATTATATTTTATCATATTGAGAACATAAATTAATGCTTCTAGTATGTACATTGGGTATGAGGTTTTACGATAACCATTTTACATTACATGGAAAATATAACTAAATGATTCTGTGTTTTTTTTCCACTTCAAATTTATTAACTGTAAAAATCATTAAGATAATTTTTTTTCCCACAAAGTAGGATTGTTTATGCTTTAGTTATTATCTTGAATGTATGTAGTCACTGGTCTATATGAAATAAAATATTTTGTATACAACATTTTTTGTTGACTCATTAGTTTGCTGCAGGTTACTTGCACATAAGTTGATGATACTGGGGTTTTATCAATCTCAGTAGAATCAGCATTTCGTAAATTCTGTGGTCGTTAAGAGGACCTTATAAGCAAAACATTACATCAGTAGACACATTTTGACTGACTTTATTTACAAATTTATTCAAGAACTTTTACACGAGAAAAGGAAAACTGCTGCTGTGGCCTTCAATTCGACAGATATATTGACGACCTTTTATTTTTACTACATGTATCATTCATATGTCAACCCGATATGTCGAATATATGTAATAAATAAAAGACACAGAGACTGCCACACCTTGCTTAACTGATTAAAAACAAAAAGGTTCAACAACCAAATAAAATGAACGACTAACGAGATGGCTTCACTTTTCCATCGTCAACTTCCTCTTTGAATGTTGTCATTAGCTGAAGAACTGTAGCTCTCTGCTTGAGAAAAGTCGGACAGTTCTTTGCTTTATCTGTCCGACTTTTCTCAAACAGAGAGCTACAGTTCTGCAGCTAATGGCTGCATATGGTGTTTTTCTATTTCTATTTTTAGTGGAGAGAAAGCTCTTAAGTAAGATCAGTTTTTAACTACGACAGATGATGTTACAATATTTCAACAACCTCGTGAATATAATCAGCATTTCGTAAATTTTATGGTTTTTGAATGATACTTTGTAATAAATTAACATGCATTGGGTCGTACTTTGCAATTGTCAGATTTCATTCCAGTTGTTGTACTAAATTTGACGGAATATTTCGTCTAATTGATCAATACATATAAGGCTCACGGCGGATGTAACCCGGTCTATATGGGGTGTTACTCCTCCTATAGGCAAATGATTCCACCTCTAGGATTTATGTCCCATTCCCAGTTTTATGAAATCGACCGCTCTTTGCTATCTTTGAACACCCCAACTTCCTCCAGGAAACGCTATCGACTTATGAAATTATACCGGTATATTCACAATCACAACGTTGATAATGCCCCGGCCTTTTGGGGGATTTTATATACCTGAGTAGCAGCTTATGGCGAAGATTAAAGTCTCTAAAATGCGTGTCAAACTCCAAGGTGAAGAGATAAAAAAAATATTGGTACCCCCCCCCCCCCAATTTCTTTAAATAAAAAAACCCGCCGACTTGTCCATATTGTCTCAATGCAATGAATATGCCTGTGAACTATGAAAGCCATATCACCAAGCATTCAAAGATATATATGCCAAAAGATTTTTTTTCACAGTAGGTTAAACATATCAAGGCCAAGGACTAAAGATCAAAACTATTGGCAAGGGAAGGTCTTGTTGCAAGAAATAAATATGAAAGCCATAGCTCGAAACAATCAAAAGTTATGGGCAAGGTTAAAGTTTTTGAGGACAAACAGACAAACGACTATTAAACCGAGAGACGGACAGACAGAGCAAAATGAAATGCCTCCAAATCATTCATTAGGAAGAAGAGTAAATAAAATTGTTTTATTCATTCTGTATGACTAGTATGGGACTTAACTACAGATATAATGTTAGTAGTTGCGATCTTTACACAGAACTTGACAAAACCTGACTGAGCTACATTCAGGCACAAAGGAGCAAGTAAGGAGTGGTGTGTACCGCAATAATTTTCCTAGAGCACAAACTTTACAATAGAATGCTTCAACATCCGTCAATGAGCACTGACAAGGATGCGAGCATTTTAGAATGATGGCTGTCTACAGTCGAGAGGATTTTCAGGAAACGGTAAACAATTCCCTTGTTTCCTCATTTTCACTTGTAATAATGCAAAAAATTCTATGTTGGTTCCTCAGACTTGTCTTCTGTGTTATCCACATCTAAACGTATGTGACGGCATAGATTTGGATTATTTGGCACGAATACCGTTTCACGAGGGGTCATTAATGAGTCCAAATCGTTCTTCAGCACAAACTGTCTCTGTTCCTTAACAAAGTCAGTAATATCGTAAATATTGCGGATCCATTGCTCGTTGAATTTTTCTAGAATTTCTCCTTTTAGTCCAAGCTGTACTGCCCGTCTTGTGCATTTATTGCCGTGTGGTGTGTGATCGGGATCCCACTGCAATCGAACACCCCCGTCCCCAAAACCTGTCATGATATAAATTACAACTTGTATAAAAAAGTGTGTTAATTATAAAAAAAAAAAAACGAATTCATATCTCAAACACATTGTCTATTTTTTTAAAAAAATATGAGCACTAATACTAATTTTTAGTACATACCAACTTGTGGACCCCCTGGGCCGTATGCATCCTTACTGGCATCTTGCGAGACCCGTAGAATTTCCAAAAAACCATCAATAGTCAATCGAATGGCAAGGATTCGATCCTGATTAGATTTTTCGGCCCATCCAGACCTATACATCATCCACAGAAAGTTTGTTTTAATCCAAGTCATTCTGTTAAAGCTGTATAGAGGGCCACCGAATTTTCCGTTTTTATCCGCATATTCAGCTATTTCTTTGCGAAATGCCTGGTAGACTATGATCGTGTTGTCGTCGTACTGAGCAAGAATATGTCTTCCCTCTTTGGGCCATCGCTTTAATTGTTCCTGATATTTTTCTGTTTCTAGCCCAAACGTGCTTTTAGAATTATTTGATGCCATTTTGGACCAGAGATTCATTGGACATGTAGGAGTACGAGAGCTTCTTATACGTGCGATCTGCCGTATTTCTCTAAGTTGCGAAATAACCATGAATCCTATGACCGATTGTTATGAAATATTTTTATTGAAAAACTAACAAAAAAAGAAAATAAAATAAAAAAGGATGACATAAAATCACTTGCATTACCATTTAAAACGCAAAATTACATGTATATGTACCTAAAGCCAACTTCCGCAAAACTTAGTCAGATCTTGTCCTACGGTTTACAATAACGGTCATAAATTTAGAATATTATATATTTTCCCCTGGAATTTTGAATGAAGTTTTTTTTATGAAGTTTCGATGCAAGTTTCTGTTTATGTATACACTTATTTTGTGAATACTTTTTATCCACGATTATGAAGAAAGTTGATCGTTAAATAACATTACTGTGCACTTTTTCAATAATAAGGCGCCGCGACATTTTTTCAGTCACTAATGCAAATGCATAACAAAGACAGCACGCATATTGTGACGTCAGATATAACGTCACTTGAGAATGGATATTCTGCATTGTGATTGCAAAATGTGAGGTAAGGAAAAAAAAACAATGAGTTTTCAGTGTACAACCCCGCAATACCGTGGGGCGGCAACGGCACAGTAAAACATGATGACTCAGGACCCCTGGCATTGTTTATATATATGCTAAGGGTGTTTTATTATCCGTATTTGGCGCGTTTGGCGATATCTAGATGATAAGGGCCCATTAATAACTTTATATTGTATGTCAAACGAGATGACTTAAATTATACTTATACGATACTCAAGAAGACGTTTCGAATACGAATAATTTTATAAAGCCAGCTACTAACATATGAGCTGATGTTACAGGGTTTTTTTAAAAACAACTTTAATTGAGTCTGCATTTCGCAAATTCTATTGTCGTTATAATGATCTTGATTGCAAATATAACAGATTATTTGGTCCTAATTTACCTGAATTGTTTCATATAAATTGTTAGACTTTGTTGACCAGTCGACATAGGATGCTCATCATGCTCATTCACTCCTCTCAGGCACCTGATCCCACTTAAGGGATTTCCAGGACTTCGTGTTTTGTAGCATTGTTTTAAAGACAAAATTCACAGTCTTCATTAAAAAAAAAATCATCGAATGGTAAAAAAAATCAGAATGCATACGGTACCTACTTAACACCCCCCACACCCCCCCCACACACAAACACGCACACATACACTAAATACACGTGGGCTATATGTATCGAGTTGCCCTGACTTCAAATTTCTAAATGAGATATTGAATATCGCTTGTCAAAATCTGTTACACGTCAGTGATTTGAATTTTAAATTCAAACCGATAGTTTTTGCGCTTATTTATAACTTTAAAAGTAAAGGTTTCTTTGTTGTTATCTGATATCAGTAAGCAAAAACCGAATGTTAATGGCGATCATTCCTAGCTTATTCCACACAGAAATGCTGCCACAGAAAAGGGTATTTTTATCACTGCGTCATTAACACTAAGAAAGTAAGATGATCTTTAATAAGAATAGATTTCTGAATGTTTATGTCCAAGGATATTCTAACAAGAGATGGGGAACACAAATGCCAAGGAATCTAAAGAGAACTATGGATCTGGCGGAATGGAAGATCTGTCATATACCCGAAGTGACAGCCTGATCAGCGCGCGCTCCCAAAACCCGGAAGTCAGCAGTCACGTGCTTCCACCACTGGCATTTCAGGTACATTGTACTAAAGTTCTATTGCCCTGCAAAATAACAAGATTGGTTTATTTATAGGCGAAAAGACATATTGCAGCAACACAGAACTTTATTTAAAACATAAATTTACAACCTTAATTATTAGGTACATAAAATATCCTAATAAACTCTGTTTTAATATAAACAATGGTACAACAAAATATTAACATGGTTTACACAGCATGGTTACTTTGAACTAATTATCTGTCATTATGCTTTTCTTGTTTTCGTCTTCTTTTCTCTCTTTTCCTGTAGAGAGTTAGGCGATGTTTACTTCGTCTCCCATTAGGTGAGGGACAGGAAATAAGGGAGGAGGCAATAGAGAGAGTCGCCAAACACATTGTCGTGGAAACATACGATCCTGGCAAAGACATAATTCTAAAAGGTCAGTTACTTCTGTGAGTACATTTCAGTGACACGTGATCATCAGTGACAATGACACATTTGTACACCTTCTTATGTCCCTTTGCTTGTAGGTGATTCCACAAAAGGGATCTTTGTTATTATAGAAGGAAGTCTGAGCGTTCGGTCCGAGGGTGGGGACGAAATTTTCTCCAACCTCAGTGAGGGCGACTTCTTCGGGGAAATCTCGTTGATATTTGACATCCCGTGTACTGCGAGAGTTCAAACAGATACAAGGTCAGATATTACTAAATGGAAAGAAAATAAGTACTGGTACAGTTCAATAAAAAGTAGATGTGTTCGTTTTGAATGAACTTGATAAATTCATAATATAATTATAAACAATCAAATAATATTGTTCATAAAAATACAATGTAAAAATAAAATGTATATAGAAATCGCCTCGACCATTGGCCTTGAATCAAAAACAATGTCTGTATATCCAAAATAGATTATTGATATTGTTGGCTTTTGAAAAAAAAATACTTGTAAATCTTGTCTATACATTGATCAATAACCAGAACACTTCTCAAATGTCACATAATTTCCTCCGACACACAGTTGCCTTCTGGCTCACCTGGAGCCTCATACCGCCAGGAGACTGTTCCACAAAGTTAGTGTCGATATCCTCGACTGGTTTGTTACACGTAGATATCTACCAATAAGCAGCGATATCGACGTTGATCGATGTTTTCGGCGAATGTCGTATACATACCTCAAAGCAGTAAGTATATATTACATTTCTTCAGTTGTTAATTTTTCAAAAACGATCTGGTGAAAATATGGTCATCTTCAAGTTTTAACAACACTTCCTTTGGTTTAGTGTCCTGTATTCAAAAAGTGGTGCGAGGATTCTTTAAAGACTCTTATCTTAGATTTGGACCCGGCTATGGTAGTATTGTATCAACCAAACACCTCTATCATCTGCAACAATGACCCGCCCATAGCTCTCGACATCATTATCCGCGGAAGGTAATTCTTTGTCTCAAAATCAAAATGAATTTGAACTATCAATGCTCAAGATTTCCTATGTCAAGTACCAGACTAAGATATAATTTGCCCCTATAAATAAAACAGGGCAGTCATCCAGGACGAACAATCAAAAACATTGGTAACCATTGATGTAAGTAACCAAGGAGACGACCCTGTTGTCATTGGAGAGGAAGGTAAAGTATAATATACCAATAGATCATTTAAATAGATTAAATATGGTCAATTAAAATTTGATTAATAAACCTTGGTAGTTTGATTGTTAGATACACCTGATATCTAATAAGTTTAGTTTGTAACACAAAAAGCTTGCAATTGACTATTAAATGTTGTTTTGTTTGACGGTATGCATGAAATAAGCAGTCTTTGAATAAATCCTAACGAAAAAAAATTATAGTTAACTATAACTTGGTTATAACTTTGATACTCTGAAAACTTAGATTTACTGTGGTGATAACTTTGACACTTTGATTTACTATAGTGATAACTTTGACACTTCCATTTACTATAGTGATAACTTTGACACTTTGATTTACTATAGTGATAACTTTGACACTTTGATTTACTATAGTGATAACTTTGACACTTCCATTTACTATAGTGATAACTTTGACACTTTGATTTACTATAGTGATAACTTTGACACTTTGATTTACTATAGTGATAACTTTGACACTTCCATTTACTATAGTGATAACTTTGACACTTTGATTTACTATAGTGATAACTTTGACACTTTGATTTACTATAGTGATAACTTTAACACTTCCATTTACTATAGTGATAACTTTGACACTTTGATTTACTATAGTGATAACTTTAACACTTCCATTTGCTATAGTGATTACTTTGACACTTTGATTTACTATAGTGATAACTTTGACACTTTGATTTACTATAGTGATAACTTTAACACTTCCATTTACTATAGTGATTACTTTGACACTTTGATTTACTATAGTGATAACTTTGAAACTTCCATTTACTATAGTAATTACTTTGACACTTTGATTTACAATAGTGATAACTTTGACACTTTGATTTACTATAGTGATAACTTTGACACTTTGATTTACTATAGTGATAACTTTGACACTTTGATTTACTATAGTGATAACTTTGACACTTTGATTTACTATAGTGATAACTTTAACACTTCCATTTGCTATAGTGATTACTTTGACACTTTGATTTACTATAGTGATAACTTTGACACTTTGATTTACTATAGTGATAACTTTAACACTTCCATTTACTATAGTGATGACTTTGACACTTTGATTTACTATAGTGATAACTTTGACACTTTGATTTACTATAGTAATAACTTTGAAACTTCCATTTACTATAGTAATTACTTTGACACTTTGATTTACAATAGTGATAACTTTGACACTTTGATTTACTATAGTGATAACTTTGACACTTTGATTTACTATAGTGATAACTTTGACACTTTGATTTACTATAGTGATAACTTTGACACTGATTTACTATAGTGATAACTTTGACACTTTGATTTACTATAGTGATAACTTTAACACTTCCATTTACTATAGTGATAACTTTGACACTTTGATTTACTATAGTGATAACTTTAACACTTCCATTTACTATAGTGATAACTTTGACACTTTGATTTTCTATAGTGATAACTTTGACACTTCCATTTACTACAGTGATAACTTTGACACTTCCATTTACTATAGTGATAACTTTGACACTTTGATTTAATATAGTGATAATTATGAAAACGTTGATTGACCATAGTGAACACTGTGAAAACTTAAATTTGTTTTACTATAGTGATAACTATGAAAACTGTGATTTACCGTACTGATCACAGTGAAAACTTTGATTTTCTATATTAGTGATAACTTTGAACTCTTTCACATAGTGATAACAATGGCACTATAGTATTCACTTTGAAAACTTTTATTTACTATTATGATAATGATCACTTTGAAATACTTGATTTGATATAGTGATTGATAACTTTGACACCTCGATTTACTATACTTAACTATTAATAGTAAACTATAGTTAACCGTGGAATATGTTTAATTGTTAGGGAAGGATTTGGTAGCAATCCTCCTGGAAAAGAAGGGCATTGTATCTCTATCAATATGTGGGAAACTGACTAGTGTAATAAACAATAACGACTGTACATTTTTTTAGTCTTACCATGCTAGATATTGTATCATAATTATTAATTTCCTTATAAGGAATGTATCTAGAACAGCCGAGCAGGGTCTCTATAATGACCACCACGTGTTGTGAAATCATACACATCAAGGAGGAATGGCTACAGAACACGCTGGATAAGGTACAATTATCGTCTATCAGCTAGTAATATCAGCTTCCCACTAAAATAATTTATGAATGTCTCCAAGTGGCTTTTCACGTTAAAAGATCTTATAACATTCATTTTCTTTCCTATGTTGATTCGTTATATATCTATTTTTACTCGAAATACTAGTAAAAGACACCAGTTAAAGAGTCTGGTGCAACTGTTTATCCCATGACCGACAATTTTTTCTTTGATCTTCGCAAGGGTGTATTTCTCATATCAACATAAGTGTGGTGATATATTAAATATCACATATGTGATATAAAGCTAGTGATATCCAACTGTTATACCCTGGATGTAGGAGGAGCTATGCAAATGAGACAAAAATTCGTTTCTGGATTTTAATGAACTAACAAAAACAAGAGAAAAACAAAACATAACAGATAACACAGTTTAAATCAAAACAAAAAAGACATCGACACGGTCTGGCGGAGCATAATTCTCGAAGCGGATAACTTCATCTTCCATGATAGGAATTCGCACATTCAATAATAGCATTTTCCTTCCCGGCATCCTCTGAAAAGTTCATATAATGAACACCTTGACAACCTTGCTCTCATGTACCGTAGAATATCGGAACAGATCGGATATAAAGTCCTCGGGGGTAGGGGAATCCATATGCGCACCTGGCTTCAATTACAGTGTACAGTACGCAAGTTCTTGGTATTTACTAGTTTCGGGAATGATTTTAAACTCACCAAGTTGCTGTTTTGCTGAGATTTCCAGTCGTTGAACACTTGAACCATGTTGACTGCCCATGAAGTGTTACGGCTCGTGGTTTAACTTTCTTGATTTTTTAAGCGCACTTATTTCAATGGCCGACACATGTTTTCCGAATCTAGTATTTTCAGTCCATTCCGTAAAATATTTTCCCGTTTCAGTTCCGGAAACTGTAAATGGAAATTCATAAAGTCCTGGCCCCATGGGCCATTTAAATCCGATTGCCCTAGTTCATACATCTGAACTGCTTGACTCTTGAAAATTATCCTCGTCGTAGGCTTGCTGAAAAACGACGATTCTTTACGCTGGACCCCTTCCGCCATTTTCGCCAGATCATAGAACAAATGAATTGATTATCTCAAGAAATTGATCACGTGTTACAGTACTATGAAAATTACCAAATTTGTAAATCCGTTACTTGGATACCAAAAACCCCTCGCGTTAAGACTATCACGTGGTTCTGTTTCAGAGTCTTTATTAGTTGATGTGAAGAAAATACCAAATATGGGAAAAGGTCAAATGAAGGGTCATGGGATAAATCAGTTACATGATTGACAGCTCGATGATGCATACAAAATATCGTTGAGTTATTGCAAACTCGGAGGCTAACGCCTCCTCGCGTGCAATAACTCAACGATATTTTGTATGCATCATCTCGTGTCATCATGTAACTATTACTTAACATTTAGAAATACTAAATAGAAATCTAATAGCAAACATTTTTGATAAAAGGCATTAATTTAACTTTAGCATCTTATAAACTTTCCTTTCTTATGAAGAAGTTAATTTATACCTTTCTCATACCTCCTTTTGGAATTTAGTTTCCCGGTTGCTTCAATAGCAAGGGCAGGTCTGCGTGCAAACAATTTCTAAGACTATGCAAGCTATTGACAAATAAGTTGATTAAACAAGGATAATTAGAGTCTCTTTTATAGTCAATAGTTTGTTCTTGTTTTTTTTTTGCCCTGCTTCCAGTTTGCATTGTTTCGATAAAACCCTTCTGCTTTGAACTGTTCATTTGTTCCCATTTGGGTATATCTTAAGAGTTTAATTTTTGCAAGATTCTGCATATTGTAAAACTTTCTGAACCGAATAATAATACTAGTATAAAGACGCAAATTCCTCTATATAAATCAATGTTTACTTCTCACAAAAACATGATCTCCAAGTAAAGTTCATCTAATACTGTTAACTAATATAGTATCCAGAAGATGCAGGGAGTTTCTGGAAACAAAGAAAGACAAGATGGAGGGCACTATTAAACAAGAAGAAAGAAGTTTATCAACAATATCCAGCTCTTCTTCAATTTGAGGTAAATTTACCTCCAATGTATACTTGCTACTGTTATGAATTAGAGTTCAAGTCCTTTTTTCTGCCTTTAAAGGGTAATCTGATTTATTTTAATGCAGGTGATCTACCAACTGCTGAAAAACAGCAGTGTTCTCTCCAAGTGTTCAACAGACTGTGTTCAACATCTAGCCCTCCACGGAATCCCTGAACAGTACCAGGTGAATGACTACGTGTGCATTCAGGAGGAGATAGGTGAGCAACATTTTAAGGCAAAAAGATCATATAAGTGCAACATTACAAGATATTTTGTGTGAGGCTACCATTCCTATCTGCTATTTTTGTCTGATATACAGATGATGGTAGTCTAGTCTTAGTCTTGGTTGGAGAGTTAGAACTAATCACGGATCCCGATACCAGATATGCCTACACCGTCAACGAAGGGGAAATTTTCTGTAAGGTTGACTTTATTTCCGATCATGTTTTTAAGAGTTATTTTTCATCGATTCAGTAAATGTTATTCTGTCTTACTACAGGTCCAAATGAGTGGATGAAGCCCCGTGTAAAGCTGGTAGCTAGATCTGAGAGTCTGGCCTTTAAAATTGACAGTAGTGCGGTGAAAGAAGCGCTAAAGAAGAATCCGGGTTGTGAATTAGTATACCCTGTTCAACCATTATAAAACATGACTACCTCTTAATGTAATTTTAGAAGCAATCAATGTGACAATAAAAAAATTATATTTTATTAACAGCGATTCCATGAATCAAAGTCAACAAATAAAAAAGACAAATAACAAAAATTATCAAATGCAAACATGTAGCACCACGTGACTAGCTCTCAGAAGATGACGGTGTGTCGTCGGTTGTTCATAGACATGGATGTGTGAACGAAGCGCCTCTTTTTCAGCGTGACATTTTCCATGATTTCTGGGAGCTCATTGATATCAGGTATGGCAGTCAGGCAGGCGTCACGGCCGCGGAAACTCCGGAATCGCCGTGGTTTGGCGGTTTCCTGTTTAATATCGGGGAGACTGAGATACAGATGTTTGGACTTGTTCGTGTCTCTCTGTATTATACCATACTCCGTCCCTTTGTTTAGGCTTGTATCAGACGTGCTCTTTGCTTTGATTAGACCTTCTACAACAGAATTAGATCGTGCAAGTCTTGGCTTTTCTGGAATTGGTGGAAATGATTGCGAGAGTCCAATTTCTCTCAAAAGTTCCATCGGTTTCTCAATTTCTCCCAGTTTAACACGTTTCTTTTCAAAGTTGGTGACATCAAAATCGAATTTAGTCAAATTCTTATGTTCTTTCTTTCCCTTGTTCTTCTCTTCTCGTGTAAATTCTGCATATTCCTTGAGGCGCTCTATTCGTTTTTTATCGTCTGTTTCATGTGGCAGGATCTGGTCTTTGAGATATTCCACAGTTTTCTTATCCTCCTGTAGCTGAGTATACTCCCGCGTTATCTCTAACTTCTGCTTTGTCAGTACACGAAGTTCGTGATGCCAAAGAGAATCAATATGGCGGAGCTCGCGATCCAAGAGACGCTGCTCGCGCACATTCTTAAGCGATGCGTTCATTTTTTGAATTTCCTTGTGTAATCAATACAGTTCTTGTTTTTCTTTCTCATCTGTTTAGTCTTGTACTGGAACCCTGGAAAAGTAACACGTTCATGTCTCAATTACTTGATCGAAAGAATACGTACAAATATAAAGTTGTTGCATGGTCGATAGAATTTCACGACATTTTGCCAAAATTATAAATACAGTACACCGTATATGAAGGATACGATAAAGTCTTTAACGGTTCGGATTTACAATGACCCAAAAAGTTTAAATACTTACACGCGAAATTATATCCAATAACTTCTCCCTGTAAAAGTACAGGGATATTTCTCATATCATTTTTATTTCCAAAAAAAAAAAAATTGATAACTTGGAATATCCCAATAATATCCCAAATTTTTTAATTTAATTTAATCAATATTGTATTATGTAAAGTAAGATTACATAATTGGATTGGAGATCAGGCCTATAAAAGTCCTCTCCAAATTTTGACGTGTATGTCAACAAAAAATGCATTAAACAAGCGTTTTGGTAATGAACAAAGAATTTTCAGATCTCCCACATCTAACAGATACTCCTGTATATATAAATGTTCTTTTCTCCCCCACCCCCCAAAAATAAATAATTCAACATTTCATTTCTTTCAATGTTTTGCAAAAGAAAAGAGCAAGACAACGAATATGAGCATGATGAAAGATGTGGCTGCAAAAACCAATTTGCACTTGACACCCCGCCAATATACTAGTAGCTGCCACCCCAGCAAGATCCGCCATTTGAACTGTATAGATTCACTTTGACAGTGTATAGCACGAATCTGAATGTTTTGTCTTAAAAAAGTATAAGTGTTGTTAATCATGCAAAATTAGAAGTATCTTTTACAGTCATCCAATTACCGTAAAGTTCATTATATAAACAGTTAATCTCCCGTTATTAACGAAATGTTGGTTATTTTAAAGTAAGCCATGGATGTCAACAGACGGTTTAGACAAATTGGGGTTAGAAAGATGAACAAATTATTTTACGAACAGAAAGGCATCACACAGACATAAAACATACCTTATCGTTGCATCGTATGCAATCATTGGAAAAAAATTAGTTCCAAAATATAAAGCTTTGATGTGCAATACCGCATATATGTGTTAAACAATTTTTAAGGTTTGATCTCCGACAATCGGATTTAACACTAGAGCAGTGGTGGATTGGAAAAGAAGTTTTAATTCCAAGAGCTGATCATAAGAAAATCACTGGCAAAGTAGACAGATTCTGGCAGCTTTCCTCCATTTATTTAACCGTTTTCTATTTGCTTTGTTTGAGGTGACGTCTTTGCCACACGTAGTTAGAGAGAAGTTTTGTTTTTGGGGATAGGTCACCTGTTAATCCAAATGACCCGATTTAGGTTAGGAATATAAACATTATGACACATATTAAAAAGCATCTTCGCTAGCCAAGGGTTTCCGATCCGATAGGTATCGGATCGGAAACCCTTGGCTAGCGAAGATGATTAAAAAGAAACATCGACATCATAAAATACATTATAATTGTTTTGATTGTTGTATTTATAAGCTGTGTTGTAAAACGAAGTCAGTCGGTGCGTTTTGCCTCAGGAAAATATTTTAAAAATCAAAAAAGTTACATACATTGTTTTGATAGATTTAATTTCTACAAATCAGATATTTGATATGTTATTTGTATATATTAATGCGATTTTCTTTTTTGGGTTTAAAGTGAATGTAAAAAATGGACCGAACCTTTTAAAATAAAAAGTCTTAAACACTTCATAAATATCTAATATTAGAAATCGCATAATAAATTAAAGAAAACTAAAAATATGTAATAATAATTTATTTTATATCATTAAACACTGTTTTAAAACGCAAACAAACAACGTACACTATAAATGATGAAGTTGGTGAATAAAAAGTAACAGATTTCAGAGGGAAAATGAAAATGACCGAGAGACAAACATACATACATACGTAAATAAAAAAAAACATATTAACGATGTCGGTATAACGACTTTGATGAAATCTTGTAACGTCAACTTTTTTGTACGTAGCCTGTCTTACTCAGCGCATGCTATTATGTACTGATGATACAAACACCATGTGTAAGTAATACTGTAATCTGTAATGGTAGATATTGGCCTGAGTTGCCAAGTTTTTTTTTTCAAAGATATAGTTGTAGTAATGGGAATGAAAAAACATCGTTAAAGTTTTTCCTAATGGAGACAAAATAAATTGATCATGTGTAGTCTTTCCATGTTTCTTTTTCACTTTTAGTATTAATACTTTAACAGGAATGAAAATGTAGATATTATCTACTCACTTTGACACTTAATTTTCCGATTCGATTCTTTGATATAGATTTGAAGCTCTGTCCATTCTTACAACAGCCTTCCCTTCATATTTATCCCATCGTCCGACATAACCCTCTACTGAATTTTAATACAAATGAAGTTCTGTCGCCATGCAGTTCAAAGATCGAGCTCCTGCTGGAAGCAAAGACAACTTAAAGTTACCTTCCGATCGTCAAAGTACTAGTACAACCAGAAATGACGTGTCCATCTTGGACTGTAGCATAGGCGTCGGAACCGGGAGGGGGGGGGGCTAAGCCCCCTCCTCGCTTTTTTTGCAAATATATACAAAATATAGGCATTGAAAATTGGGGTTGACTTTTTTTTTTGGTTTAGCCCCCCCCCCCCTCGTTTCAATTTGCTTCCGACGCCTATGTGTAGAAAGAATTAACTTAGCTGAAACAATAATGATTAAGGTAATATCTGTGTAGGTAATACATGTATGGGTCATTTTCAAAAAAAGTCTATTTTTTGAATGACATATTTTGAAAAATGAAAGTGGTTTTACTGTGACTTTTTCAACTTTATTTGAATAATATAGTAATAAACTACTAAAATCCACTGCATTGCATGAAAGAAAATATTTCTTTTAAAAAATATTGACATTTTATCTTAGTCATTTAAACTTTAATGTCCTTCCTGTTACTTTCATAAAAAGAGCTGTAAAACTCTATTTCAAAATTTTCATCAAATTATCTTTTGTATACCGTTAATAAATGAAAAAATTATTATTGAATGCCAAGATGTTTGACATTCATCTAATATATGAGCGTTTAAAAGCATGTCAAACTACCATATACCAAACAGAAGCAAAATCTACGGGTTTTTCTTCATGAAAAGTCTTATTGCGGAATGTTTATATGCTATAGTTGAAAAAAACATTCTTGTACATTATTTTTGTGATTAGAATAAACAGTTACAGAAAGTTATTTAAACAGGTGCTCTGCCAAAGCAATTTAAACTAGGAAAATATACTGGTAACAGTAAGGACTCGGGTAACAGGAAGGACAAAACAGTAACAGGATGGACAAAACAGTGTAACAGGATGGACAATGAAATCTACATTTTATATAAAAATTGACTTTTTTAAAACTTTATTGGTTAGGAAAAGAGAAATAAATGTAGAATAAAAAAAATGATTTTGTCAAATCTGGCAAATTTGAGACAATAAAAGACATTTATGTCCATCCTGTTACGAAATTTAATTCTAAAGTGCTATTAAAATATTTATCAGTTCAATTTTTGTTTATTAAAGGTACTCTATGCTGTTGCAAAACTAAGAATTTTTCATAATTTTAAGAAAAACAAATGATGAAACTTAAATAGGTATATAAATACCAGGATAATTTGTCCCTCCTGTTACAATTTTTGTCCATTCTGTTACAAGAGTGCATGTTTAAGTTATAATGGCACAATTTGAAGCACTAACTTATTTCAATATGATTTACGAAGTTTTTTAACATGTTTTATTAAAATTATATTATTTAGAAAAATAAAAGTAATTGTTTTTATTGTTAAAACTCAAGATATGAAGTCCAGTTTTCCTTACTGTTACCATATTAATGGTAACAGGAATGACAGTAACAGGATGGACATTTCTCATATAAATCACCGGTTATTTAGTATAACGTACTCTTTTTGCATCATCAAGACATTGAAACAGTTTCTTTGTAACTTAGTAAATCTGATTGTTTTAGCAGAATAAACAATTTAAAGAGTATTTGCATATTATGAAGGTAACAGATAGGACATATTTTCATTATACTCTACCAATAAGACAAACTTATCGACCTTTGAACCCT